GATCTTTGATAAAAAGGGAGCTTTGAGACTGGTCTGTAGTTGTTCAGAATGGATGGGTCTAGATTGGGTTTTTTGAGAAGAGGTTCAATTAGAGTGGATTTAAAAAAAGCAGAAACAAACCTGAGGTCAGAGAGTGATTGACAATAGATAAAATGAAGGGACCAACAGTGGGCATAATCTCCTTCAGTAGTCTGGTAGGGACCACATCCAAAGGGCAAGAGGAGGATTTCATGCGCATCACCATTGTGTTGAGATCAGTTAGTGACACTGAACTAAACGAGCAGAGGACTGACATAGAGTAGGACTGGTGAGTTGGCGGTTCTGGGACAAGTGAATTGTGGGGTCTAGTGATGCGCGGGTCGGGGTTTTTTCCAACCCGCGGGTCCCGCATTTATGAAATAATTTGACCCGCTCCATCCTGACCGCACAACTGCATCTATTTTCACAACCCACCCCACCCCGCCCCCGCCGCTATTAACGCTATACAAGCATCTTGTGGCTCTCATGCTTGTATAGCTTATCACAGGAATTGCACTTCACGTAGCCAATGCTGCTGTCATCTAACACTAACTACCTCACAGAAATTGTCCCAAACATGAGGTTTAGCAGCTTGGCCTTCTTTTCTTTTAACTCTGTACTCTCCCAACCGTAATCTGTCCCTCACTTCTTCTTCCATCTTCACCGCTTCATTGATTCTGATTTGTTGTGGCCGCTGCTTGGCGCTTTTGTGATGTCAGGTCGCAGGTTACGTTACGTAACATGCATTGACCTAACCTACAACAGTGTTGTTAACAAGTAGGCTATATCTGACATATTTAATCTTTAATGACCCGCCCCACCCGCCCCGCCAACATTTTCATTCAACATTTCTTGACCCGACCCAACCCGACCCAACCCGACCCGCGGGTTACGGGTCGGCCCGCGCATCACTAGTGGGGTCGACTGCTGATGGTGTGAGATCTAATGTTTTCAATTTTTTCAGTGAAAAATTATGAAAATTGCTCACAGAGTTCAGGTGATGCATGTAAATTAATATTGGTGAAGGCGCCAACAATTCGGTCGAGTGTTTGAAACAGCACTTTAGAGTTTTGAGCATTCTGGGAGATCAAGTTGGAGAAATAAGTTGCTCGTGCGTCCTTAACTGCAGCATTGTAATTATTAATTAGGCTTTTCAAAAGCTCATAGTGAACTTGAAGCTTGCAGGACTTCATTTACGCTCTATTTTGCGTACCTCTCTTTTAAGGAGCGGGTATGGTCATTAAACCATGGAGAGACAGAGGAAGTGATTTTGGTTCTGGTTTTAACTGGGGCTACTGAGTCCATTGTATTCAGTGGAGGTCATTGAAAGAATTCACCAGGAGGTTGGTATCAAGGGAGAGAGGTAGTTCAGAAGAGAGGCATGAAAAAGCATGTGAAAATTTAGCTGCTGTTGTTGAGTTAATGATGCGGGAGCGGATGGGGGCAGGTGAGACTTTAGGCGAAGGAGAGGAGTACAAGTTTAAAACAATACTAAAATGATCGGATATACAGGTGTTAATAAGTTCCACATTATCAATCTTCAGACCATATGAAATAACGAGATCTAAGATATGGCCCTTCTCATTGGTGGGCCCTGTGGAATGTAAAACAAAATTAAACGATTCTAAAAGATTAAGAAATTCCTCCACAAGAGCATCACCAGGACAACAAACATGAATGTTGAAGTCACCGATTATGCAGACCCGGTCATAATTAGGTAAAAGCAGAGAGAGCAGGTCAGAGAATTCAGAGATAAAAGTGCCATTGGGCTTCGGAGGGTGGTAAATTAAAAGGAATAAAATCAGCTGGTGCTTATTAACACAAAATGTTACGTTTTCGAAGGAGGAGAATTCCCCACAGGGAACATGCTTATAAAAGAAATTGTCTCTGTAAATGACAGCGACCCCTCTGCCGCAGCCAGATAGCCGGGTCTTCTGCGCATATAAGAATGCTGGAGGTGTAGCTTCATTCAGGGTGCTGTATTCATCTGGTTTTGACCATGTTTCAGTCATACAAAAATATCAGTGTCATTGGAGGTAATAAAATCATTGCAAATAAAAGATTTATTATTTAAGGACCTTACATTTAAAAGGCTAATCTTTACAGGTATGCTTGATGGAACAGAAGGGCCTGATTGTGTCTGAATGGAAATCAAGTTATTCGGGTTTCGGCCAGCAGAGGGCAGGGTGTGTTTTTTTGGTCTGTTGTTGGTAATTCTGACAGTAGGGACAAGACCAGTTTGGACAGGACGGGAGAGGTCGTTGTCTATTGAGGTTAGTGACAGCTGGAGCCTGTAGGGGGAGTAGCTACGGGAGGCAATGTCCACGGAGGGCTCCGTAGAAGAAGAGGAAGGCACTGAGGAGGGGGTTTGGCGTGTAGACAGTCACGCATGTGTGTTTGTGGTATGGTGTGTACAGTGTGCTGTATATTGGCAAAAAATTTTAATGGGTTCAGTTGAGTATTTAATCTGTAATTTCCTATGACCTGTATCCCAAACACACACCATGTGAAACTGTGCGTGGGCAACTGTGCACTCAATTGGTATGGACTAGTTGTTTCTTATTTCCAGGTGTTTATACACTAAAGGAAACATACTTTTATATGACATTCAATTTCTGCCAATATATCCCTCTAAATCCTACACACTGGACTTTTAAGCTGGATGGGGACTGTACCATTCAGAGTCCCACAATCAGACTTTATAGAGGGAATCACCTTGTTGTTCACAAATACTTCCGGGTAGAAAACCAGCAGAGTTTAGCTATATACATATATATACATATATATATATATATATATATATACAGTACAGGCCAAAAGTTTGGACACACCTTCTCATTCAAAGCGTTTTCTTTATTTTCATGACTATTTACATTGTAGATTCTCACTGAAGGCATCAAAACTATGAATGAACACATGTGGAGTTATGTACTTAACAAAAAAAGGTGAAATAACTGAAAACATGTTTTATATTCTAGTTTCTTCAAAATAGCCACCCTTTGCTCTGATTACTGCTTTGCACACTCTTGGCATTCTCTCCATGAGCTTCAAGAGGTAGTCACCTGAAATGGTTT